TTGTAGGATAACAAAGGGACCGATCGAGTTTGAAGTAACAATTTATAAAATCGTCTGTATGCTAGAAAAGTTCATCTCTCGCATAATACTTTCAATGGATGACCATTCAACCGTATCGTACGCCTTTTGAATATCCATTTGGATAGCATAACGAGGGGATAGGTATTTTCTGCTGTAACCTTTCATTAACTCATGGGCAAGCATGATATTATCGTGTATCACTCTTCTTGGAATAAACGCAGACTGGCTATCATCAATGACATTAAGGAGGACATTACTCAATCTATTTGTCATGATTTTTGAAATCACTTTTTATATTGTACTGCAACACGCTATTGGCCTCATGTTTCTTATCCTCTTAGCCTCCAAAGTCTTCGGAATTAAAGTGTCCAACGCACGATTCACAGCAGCAAACAGACAATTCTGAAGAAATAAATCTTGCATTTCCTCAATCGTATCTTTCTTAGTGACGTTTCATGTACTCTTGAACCATAATCTGTATGTCACATGGTCAACATATCCTATAAGCACTAGATAGTCATTGGGCCCTCCAGGGAACTCTCCGTCAATGTGTACAGTTGGCTTCATTAAAGCCAGAGAAATAACCTATGAATCAACAGTAATAGTATCCTCGACGCCACTTGTCTCAGCCACCTCAGTAGTATGGGCTGCATCTATTTCGGCCTTAGTGGTAATATGGGTCGCGTCTGTCTCGGCCACCTCAGTTGGGTCAATAGCACCCTGACCTTCTACCTCCTCAACTTGAACATCCTCAACAATATGCTCATCAACATCATCTATGGCCTGCTCATCAGCTATATCAACTTGGCACAAAAGAATTGTGCATCAAACCATTTCCTATGAGAACCATTTAGGGCTACTCTCCTTGCCCGTAGCTGGGAAGACTCTACATCAGCTGTCCTAGCATGGACTCTCATTGTATCTCTATCGGTGGTCCTAGAAGCACATATTCATTAATTCCTCTAGTTCTCTCTGAAAAATGATAAAAAATTTTAATGAACTACCGACAATTTCAAATAGTCTGGTAATATACTACTAATACTAGTAATTTTAAAATGTGTGGTGCCATGTAAAATAATTTACAGTACCACCATTTTGAAAAAAAACGGTATAAATGCATGTATTTATATCAACATTTTCAAAATGTCCAGTAAAAAGACATTCATTTATATTAGTTATTTCAAAATTCTTAGTATAAATACATGCATTTTTATCAGACATTTTGAATATGAGAATTATGATTTTTTACGGAGCATTTCGAAAATGCGGGTAAAAACGCATGAAAGTTGAGAGAAATCTTTCTTTTTATGAAAATTTTGGTATGAACTACAAAATATTTACGGTGTAGCTAAGAATTTTTTATAAAATACGAAAGTTTTGCAAGGATTTCAAATAATGGTTTGATAGTTGTGTGGGATAATATAGTAAATTCACACAAGATATGAAAGTGTCAGGCATAGGTTGGAAGGTGGCATGTTAAAGAGAATTCTACCTGCTACCCTCCTAATTATACCAGCACCCCTCCCCCACCCATATTTCCGTGTTGACAAAACTTCCTCTAAAAAATATTTGATAGAAATGTGCAAACGAAATTTCTGGTAGTCTAATTAGAATTGTCGGTATAAATTAATACTAGTGTTTTTACAATTGCTGTTATGTTTGGAAATAGATCGGTATTTTCAAATATTACCATGCCATACCAGAAATTTTGGGATTTTTTAAATTTCTGATTGTTACAATTTTCAACATTATAGATTTTACCGACCATCTTATGTGATCCAAAATGAATCAAAACTTGTATAAATAGGGTCCTTGTGTTGTTAAAAAAAATATCATAGAAAATGTCTCACTTTTCGCATAAGGCAATTGTGTTCTTCAATGGTGTCAAACTTGAAGTTGTTTCGTGCTCCTGGAGGACACTACCTGTCCCGCTATTCTGAGATCCAAATTGGAAATTCTGTACCATTTTGAGTTTAAGACTAATAAAGACATGGGAGTTATGTGGAAAAAATATCATTGTAGGCTAACAAAGGGACCGATCGAGTTTGAAGCGGAAATTACTAGATTTGTCAACGACATAATGAAGATGTTGAAACACTTAGAATCATTTGTTAGTGTCTAGGTTATGTTTTTTATTATTGTTAAGTTATGTTAGTTGTAATGTATTAAGTCATGTTAATCATGCAAACATGTAATCGACATAATTTTATCTAATAAAATGTGCAATGGTAAATAGTCTGAGTCATTATATACATCCATAATACAAAAATAATACAAATATAATACAAATGTTTATAGAGGTCTCCCACGGGCTATGCATGTTTGTTCCACACGCTATTGTTGGTAATCCACACCAACTGGAGGCGAGGGACGTCATCAACAAGTTCCTGGTTAGTAACACGAGCTTTAAATAATCTACCAGCAATGGGGAGATGCAACAAAGAGGAGACATCATCCAAAGTAATAGTCATCCCCCTAAATGGAAGATGAAAGGAAGATGTCTCCTTGTGCCATTGCTTAACAAAGGTCATTGAGAGTGAAGCATCGAGCATGGGCAGTGAGAAGTCAGTCAATGACAAAAGACCTCCCTCATCAACAATCAACCTGACTTGCTCAGACATCATACCTTTTGGAGACCTCTTCAACTTCCCCCGTGGGATGTGATCTTTAGTGTGGGACAATCCTGTAACAGACAAAGAAAAAAACATCATTTATGCAATAATAAATAATTTCAATTTATGCAACAAAAAAATTAAAAACAAAACATCAGTTATGCAATATACCTATCCATGCCATAATCTATATGTCACATGATTGGCATATCCGGTAAGCACTAAATGATCATTGGGCCCTCTAGAAAACTCTCCGGCAGTATGTACTGATGACTATGTTGAAGTAGGAGTAGTAACCTCTGTATCATGAATAGTAGTAGCTTCGACATCACCTGTCTCAGGCACCTCAGAATATGGGACACACTTATCTCGACCTCAGGAATATCAGCTCCTCTCAGATGGGGCAATAGCCTCATCAATTTGCACCTCCTCAGAATGAACAACCTCATCAATCTGCTCAATGACATCATCATCTCTCTACAACTCCTTAACTCTAATAGCTTGGCATCGGGTATTGCAGGGTGCACGAAATTTCAATGCAATTGCCAACCGTTTCCGGTGAGAACCGGTAGGGACTGCTCTTCCTGCTCGTAGTTGGGAAAACTTTTCCTGAACTGCCTTAGTAGGGATGCTCATGGACGGTTAATTTCTATGACCAATCCATAATCATAAATAATCCATATGTTATAACTGATTATTAAAACCAATTGTCATAACCGGTTTTTATTTTTATAAAATGGTTATAAACCAGTTATTAACCGGTTATATCCATAACCAATTTTATAAATATTTTGATTTAATTTTATTTTAAAATATGTTTTTTAGAGAAATTTTTATTTAAAAAATTATTTTTTTTTAAAAGAATCATTTTTTTAGTTTTTGAAAATTTAAATAAAAATTGACTAATTTGATTTTTATTTTGGATATGGATATCCAAATTATGAATTTGGTTAAAACCATATTAACAATATATCCAAAATATGGATTTGATTAAAACCTTACTAATAATTAACCGGTTTTTAATAACCGGATTTAAATATGGATATGGATAATTTTAATAAACGATTTATTTGAGCACCCCTATGCCTTAGCACGGGCTAAAGTTGTCTCTCTACCTGTGGTATTAGAAGCAATGGATACATCCTTTCCCTAGTCCAAATTAAAAAATAGAAAAAAATTTATAAAAAAAATAATAAACTATTGAAAATATACGGTTAATATCGTCAATTTCCATATTTCCGGTGTAATGGTAACAAATTTACACTATCGGCATTTTGAAATTGTCGGTATAAATGTATGTATTTATATCGCCGATTACAAAATTGTCGATAAAAACTCATGCAATAATACTGTCAATTTCAAAAAAGCCAGAATAAATACATGAGTTTTTACGGGAAATTTTGAAATTTCCAATATAAATGCATACAAATTGATCTTACCGGACCAGAAAGAGAATCAGCGGCCAGCAACACGTCGTGAGCTCCAAATTCGTCGGTGGTGGAGAAGAGAATGTGGTGTACCTGCAAGACACTTTGATGTCAAAGTGAGGTTCAGAGCGAAATAGAGAGCAAATACAAAAAGTGAGTATGAGTTAGAATACTTGAGCCTCATGTGGAGGAGGGTATTTATAACGTGCCCTCAGCGTTAGGCCAACGATCATCTGCTTTAGGTTGGATCGCAAGGCCCACAATAAATGACTGCTAGGATCCTACGTAGAAGTAGGGAAGACCCGCACGTAGTCTTTGTCCTGAATCAACTGTCCCATGAACTCCGGAGAGTGGATGACCTGTTCTCTCGGATGCGGGTAGTCACCTGCATGATTTGAAACATCATTTCTATCGCGGAAATTTTGATGCTTTTGAGAGTGGGTATGAACAGTGTCGTAGAGAGGTGAATAAGAAGTATGAGATTTGTGACAAGCAATTAAAAGCAGCTAGAAGGACTGGAAACAAGGCCCAACAAGATAAGGTGAAGGATCGAGCTAAGTTTGCAGCTGCTAAGGAAGCATCGAAAAGCAAAAGTAAGGGAAAAGGTGATGATAATGAGGCCCAAGTAGAGGTACCACACAAATGGAGAGACTACAGCGTGTCGTTCCACTTTCTTGAACCTACTGAGTTCACACCTCTACTTCTGCAGGTCATTAATGTGAGCTTCAGCTATCCAAACCGAGAGGATTTCAGACTCTCAGATGTTGATGTTGGCATTGATATGGGGACTCGTGTTGACATTGTTGGGCCTAATGGAGCTGGAAAATCTACACTGCTAAATCTTCTAGCAGGTGATTTAAATCCAAAGTAAGGTGAAATTCAAAGGAGTCAGAAGTTGAGAATAGGGAGATACTCCCAACATTTTGTGGACCTACTGACGATGGACGAAACACCTGTTCAGTACCTCCTTCGCCACCACCCAGAGCAGGAGGGATTTAGTAAACAGGAGGTTGTCCGTGCAAAATTTGGAAAATTTGGGCTACTTAGTTGTAATCATCTTACCCCCATTGTCAAACTATCAAGAGGGCAGAAATCTCGGGTGGTTTTCACATCGATATCCATGTCAAAACCTCACATTTTATTGTTAGATGAACCCACAAATCATCTGGATATGCAAAGTATTGATGCATTGGCCGACGCGCTGGATGAATTCACGGGTGGAGTTATTCTTGTTAGTCACGATTCTAGGTTGATATCACGGGTCTGTGATGATGAAGAAAGAAGTCAAATTTGGATTGTTGAGGATGGCACAGTCAAAATTTTCCCTGAAACATTTGAAGATTACAAGGAAGATTTGCTGAAAGAGATTAAAGCTGAAATTGATGATTGAGCTTCCTCTTGTAAGAAGGCCACAATTTCCAAATGCATTTCTTTATTATACACTTCTATCTAAACTAACTTCTTTTATGGATTTTAAAGTAATTTTATTACTATACATAATTAGTATTACACGATGAATTGAATTTTTTATATCCATATTCTAATCGTTCCAGTTTTTTTAAGACAATAGTTTTTCTTTTGTATAATTTTTTAAAAATTAAAAATATTTTAATTAATTTTGTGAATAAATAAATATGATTTTATTAAAAATATGTTAATGGATGAATATTTTAAAAAAAATTTAACAGATCGTTAATAAATTAATTAATTGTTTTGATCTATCTATTATCTTTTCAATTAAATTTAAATCCATCCAATTTATAAGAAAAAAAAAATTTGTCCAATTCATTCATTTTACTACCCTTACTAAATAAATACTATAAAACTATATAATTGATCTATCCATTATCTTTTTAAAAGGAATAATATAAGGAGCATTTAAATAAATGTTTGAGGCATCATTATTCTTTTTTCATAACTTTTCTCCGACATTTTTATAACTTCCATAAAAATATATAAAACCATAACAATTTTAATGTAATTGATTTATTTTCTAATTATTTAATACAATTTTGATTACCCTTGCTAACACTTTAACATTAATGTACAGAGAAAGAAAAAGGGAAAAATAAAATTGAACAAACAAATGAACTAATGAGACAACAAAAGAAACTGGAAATCAGAAGAAGAGGAAAGAGTGAGAGAGGAGACTAGTGAAGAAAAAATAATGGAATTATTTTTATTAATTTGTTAATTTTTTAGTCATATCATTTTTTTTACACTCTTCTTAACTTAAGTCCTAAGAAGAGGGAAATTAAGGCAATTACATAGGAATTAATTATCAACAAGTCAAAGGACTCAAAGAATGGTACATTAAGGGATAACCTATCTTTGATCTAAAGTGTAAAAAATGATCAGATGATCATTTTTCAACATATTTGAACCAGAGAAGATTGAATCAACCAAGAGATCATCAATCAAGAATTAAAAATGTTGAAGATATGATCAACCAAGCAATAATCAAGAGGCAAATCAAAATATTCAACATTATTGAATAAATGTAAAATAAAAATGATTTTAAAATGGAAAATTAAAAGAAAATTCAAAAGAAGTATCAAAATGTAAAAGAAATGGTTGAGAAAATTATGAGAGATCAGAAAAATTATGAATAAGTGGATCTCAAAAGTTGGATGCAAAAATATTCGAAAATGATTAAAAATAAAATTGAAAATGAAAATTAAAAAGAAAAAAAAAAGAAAATATCAATTAATTGAAAAAAAAAAGATTTTAAAAATTATGGAAAAAATTTATGTGGTGCAAAATATTTTTGGAGATTTTGTGGGAAAAAATGAGTTGAAAATCAATCAAAATAAAATCAGAAAAGAGAATAGAAGTAAAATTTAAAAAAAAAATGAAATGAAGCGCCAACGACTAGTTTTTATTTTTGCTGCAGAGCCATTGATTAGCTCTGAGCAAAGAGAATTTGCTCAAGAACACAAAGAACTCTATTTCTTCAAAGTAAAATTAAATGATTGATACATAATATAAATCTAAGGTAATAGAGGGTTTTTGATCAGTGAAACAAGATGAAGACACTAGTCACTTGTTTGTTTAAGAATTTAAATCATAGCTACCTTTTTAGTTGAAGCTTAGGAGGTCAACAATAGTGGAAATGGAAATCTGGTTCCACGAAGTTTCAGGCCACGATAATGCTTCAGTTATTTTTAGAGGAAGCCTTCTTGGCATAGATTCGAAGCAAAGAGAGCTTGAATCAATAGAACTGTTAACTGGTTTTTGGAGGTTTCGAGCTCAAGTGTAGAAGAAGATTTTTGGCTTTCTAAAGCTTGCAAATAAAGGAAAATCAAACCTATATTTATAGGAAATGAAATGAGGTTATGGTACGTGTGAAATAGATCTGAAATCGTGTGTATTAGGGATGAGTTTTGTGATTTGCAATGCTTGTGAGGTGAGGGATGGAAAACATGATTCAATAATGTGGCATGGTCGTTTTGCACTTGCTTGTATGTGTTTTAGGTTCACAAATAACTTGCACATGGTTTGGTGGTCCAAGATTGAGATTGGAGTGAATTTGGTAACCTAAAACTTGCGCAAGAAGCATAGTACATGGTGTCATGTTTGAAGCTAGGCCAAATGAAATCCACCTGTGCGTTTTGAAATATTGTCCGTGCCAAAAGGTCACCTTGTTGTAATGAATCAAAGGTAAAAGAATCACTAAAAATATGGCTTAAGTTGAAAATGACATGCTCTCAAAGTTCAAGTCGATCTGGTTTCTAGGTCAGGCATTAGGTCGAACTAGGCTTTGGCATGTCTGGCCAGTTGAAACCTTCAAGTTCATGACATCACAACTTTTAACGCCCTCGTGCATTTTGAGTCAAAATTAGGCCAAATGATATTTTCCATAATCTTAATAAAAGGCACAAAGAAGTTTGTCAATTGGATGCTTGAGCTGGAAATGGCATAGGTGGAAAGTAGGGGTTTTTAGACGGTTTTGGGCAATTTTGACAACTTATTCACTTCCAAAATTGAGGTCCTTAAAGGTTGAATTAATGTTTGATCCTTGAATCAAATTTGTAGAGGAGTTAATTTTTGACATTTGGCTCAAAGTATCTTTCAAAAATGTTGAGAAATGAGAAAGTTATAGTGTTTGGACCAAGAACATACCATACTTGAACTTTAGGCCACACAACCATGCACCAACATGTGATTTTTTTTGTAAGATCTCAAATACAAAGGCATAATGATGATAACATGAATACCAAATGAAAAAATCTTGATTGAACATGAAAAATTATGAAGATGTCTTGTGAATTTTATTGATATGACATGGAAATAAATACATGAACCACTCTTGAATCAGTGACACAACTTTGAATCTTTCTTAATAAAAATCCCCTCGTGCCACTTGCCTTAACTTGAAACTATGATCTTCTCAGTCCCATATTACCCACCTAAATAAACACAAAGAAAAACAAACAAGTACCACATCTCTTGATGTTTTGGTTAGATGACATGTGACAAAAGAAAAACCCTAATCACACAAGGTAAACTTGTGACCAGCCATTCTTAGGGACCAAGAATCAAATGATATGCTAATGAGATGATATAATGAATATATGATAAAAAAAGATAGGGTAAAAATAAGGGTATGGTTGCATAAAGAAAAGGATGGTGAAAGTCAAAAGCTCAATTATTCTTACATATGCAAAGGAATCCAATGTCTTAATTACAAAGACCGTGGTCATATTCAAAATGAAGGAGCAAGTGTTCCATGGGAATAGAGAAGAATCTCGAATGTCTCAAATAATGATAAAGGTGAAAATGATCAACGAAATAACGGTGTTACACAAGATGGTGCACAAGATGGTTCAACCTCTTACTGATACTTCTGATTTACCACATATGGACTTTATGAGACTCGGACAAGGGTTTGTCATTGAAGGGAAGGCTGATGGTCAGAATGGAGGTCTTCCTAGTATTTAATAATCAATTATGTTTTAGAAGAAAGAGTTGAAAAATAAGGGGAATTATGGCTTGTCTGGAGTTGTATTTTTCCAAAAACATGATAGTAAGTTTGGTAAAACTGGAATTGAAGTTACTCTTAATATATTGAATTCTAGCCAAATAATTTTTGACAAGACATTTGTTCCAAATATTTCTCCCCACAACATTCCACAAGTTAAAAAATATGATCTAGTTGTTGGTGGAATTTTGATTATTGTTCCTCACATGTATGGGCATATGAAGAATCATCATCTCATTGAGATGTCTTTTAGAGAAGAATCCCAGGAATTCAATAGAGTTCTATACGAGGCATTGCAGAAGCATAAATAATAAAGCATAACACAAGTAAAGAACACATGATATATCCTAGTTCACTTGAGCAACTCTCAAGCTAATCCAGTACACTCTTCCAAGGTGATTTCGCCTCACTCAAGCAAGGACTTAATCCACTATAATCAAACTGATTACAGTTGCACAAGCTAACTGCAGGTGACTAACAAATAGGCAATGACACGTTCAGGGATCCCTTAGGATATAACGTTCATTGACACCTAATAGAATCCGATCACAAAAGATCTCCTATTAGGATACCACAAATGACAACTATCACTTGTCATCTCAAGTATTCTGATCTTCACAAGATCACTTGAGGAACCACTAATTCTAAGATGAATTTGTATTGTCGGAGATTACATGAGTGCTTCTTATCAAGCAGATTACTCCTAATTAAGTACATAGCAAGTATTGAGCAACAACTCCTTACTTCCTAATACAGAAACTAATCTAAGGATAAATCTCTATGAGATTATAAAAACATTAGTTTCCATATGCTTAAAAGCTTTTCTTATGTGAGCACTAAGGCTTCTTCTCATTAAGCTTTTCTTTATCTTTCTCTGTTCGCCACATGCTTGCTAGCATGCTAGCGTTGCTTTTCTTTAGCAGCTCCAGCTGCGTAACTCACTCAACAACAGCAGCATTTGAAATAATCAAATGATCTTCTTTTATAGTGCATTCAAGAGAGATATTGTGAGGACAGAGATGTCCATTCAAATATTCCAACGGTCATTTCCAACTGATAGAATACTCACATGTCGTATAGTACTGACATCACTTTTCTTTTCCTTTTCTTGCAACGTTAATATATCGTTGTGAGAGACAGCTCTTATCCACAAATGATGTGATCTTCATTTATCAGCTTGAACAGATCAAATTTTGGCTTTGGTTCTTCTTGTTTATCAGAGTTTATAGCAATAGCTTATTTGATTAACACGTCTTTATCTGGGTGAAGCTATATAATCTTCAACTTCAAAATCTAGTCTTCAGAGTCTTTCTGCACTTGGTCTTCGGAGCCTTCATCCTTCAGAGTTTCAAGTTATCAGAGTCTTCAGCACGTAGATCTTCAGAGGATTATATCTCGGATGCGCTGAT